GGGCGGGTCTATTGTGCAACTGTTCGTGCTGTACTGTTGTACGGATGCGAGACCTGGCCCATTCGTAAAGATGACTTGTGCAGGCTATCCGTCTTCGAGCACCGCTGTCTGCGGTCCATTGCCTGTGTGTGGTGGCAGCACCACGTAAGCAATGTGGAAGTTAGACAGCGTGTCTTGGGACGTGGAAGTCACTCGCTCGAGGAGCTCATCTCACTGCATCAACTGCGGTGGTTGGGACACGTATTGCGCATGCCTGTCCAGCGTTACCCCCCGTCGTGCGTTGTTTGCACTTGCTGGACAGGGCTGGAAGAGACGGCCTGGTGGACAGCCTGCAACATGGAGAAGCCGCCTGAAGAAGCTGACGAAACAGTTGGCCTCTGCCGGTAGTGGTCGACTGCCTAGTTGTGGTCCGAGAGATGCGGATACTTGCTGGTTGAAGATCTTGGAAGTCGTGGCTCAAGATCGATGTCAATGGCGGACGTGTGCATCGGTTTGTTGCAGTGTCCCTCGTTCCTCCCCCTAAAAAAGACAAACAGAAAAAATTTCACAAACCCTGAGCGGCAAACTGAACAACAAAAGCTTTTCCTGTTGTTGTTTTTGTTGTTGTTGCTTTATTATTCAAACTGCCTTCCTATTCAGCCATGATTCAGATGGTACAATATCTGTACCACCGCTTGTGCATATATATATATATACATATACATATATATATATATATATATCGGGTAGTTTGGCCTCTCACGTTGTTTATCAGTTCACCTGCGGTTGCGGTGATATTTACGTAGGCAGAACAAGCCGTCAGTTAGCTCAGAGCCTAGCTGAACATTTGACAAAGTGGTTGAGACAAGTGATTACGCAAGCAACTCTCTTCTCTCTGCCTTTATATATATATATATATATATATATATATATGTATATATAAAGGCAGAGAGAAGAGAGTTGCGATATGCCAACATTTCGTTTGTTCTTTTCCGCCGCAAACACAATACGAGCAGAAGACACAAAGGATCACATACATGAAAAAAGCAACAACAATCAAAATGTCGCAGTCATGACCATGACAACCGAACTGATTGTATCAAGAGTATCTGTGCAGATAACACAGGTTGATGCGCTTTAATTAATAACGTCACCCTAATTGCCAGCATTATCGGGTTTTGTTACGTAATAACACTTTGAACGCTGTCTCGGGGTTCACGTGATGACGGGTTGCCATGAGGTGCTTGGTGATAGACGATGCCGGGCTCCGATTACTTCTCAGATCCGTCCCATTTGCTTGCGTAATCACTTGTCTCAACCACTTTGTCAAATGTTCAGCTAGGCTCTGAGCTAACTGACGGCTTGTTCTGCCTATGTAAATGTCACCGCAACCGCAGGTGAACTGATAAACAACGTGAGAGGCCGAACTACCCGATGAGATGCTCTGACGGTTATGAAGAACAAGTCCTCGCGTGGTATGCCTGAGTCGCAACTGGGCTGTGACGTAGGTGCGCGTTAGGGAGAACCCGACCTTGCGGCCGATATCATTTGCCACATGGTCCCCTTGAACGGCAAGAACAAACAAACATCCTTTTTCTCAGCCGTCAGCACCGGTGTTTTCACGCTGGGAGGTCTACTGTGTACTTGAATAAACTTCTTAGGGTATCCACTAGAAATTAAGGTCTTGTGCTTGATTGCTTCTTCGGCTTTTAACGATTCGTGGCTGTAAATACGTCTACCCCGGTAGAAGAGAGCTTTCACTAAGCCGCATTTGTATGCGATCGGGACGAAGCTTGAAAAATGAAGGTCCTGTGCACTTCAAATCGATTTGCGGTGAACAGTGCGCTGCAACGTACCTTCAGCCCGTCTTCTAATGAGTATATCCAAAAACGCCAGGCAACTGTGTTGTTCCACTTCACGGGCTACCGACAGATTAGGGTGAATCGGATTCAGGATGGTCAGCAGCCCGGATAAAATTTTATCCGCTGTTAAATACTAAAATGTCATCCACATATCGTCTGTACAATTTTGCTTCACCAATACTGTCAGCAACTTACCTTTCTATCAGACCGAGGTAGATGTCTGCTAAAACTGGTCTCAGTGGGCTGCCCATAGCCACCCCGTCGACCTGTTTGTATGTGGTCCCTTCAAACTCGAACCGTATGTTCTCGGTACACAATAGAATCACATTCTTTAAATACTCCACAGACATATTCTGGCTCCAGATAAAATCACATAAATTAGCGACCGTCTCACGTAAAGGCACGTTTGTGAATAAGGAGTCCATATCTATTGAGTACATAAGCTCTGCACTCAGCGACAATTGTTACAGCGTCTCGGCCCGTTCAAAGCAGTCTATCAGGCGAGAACTTTACGCACCGGATCTAATTATTTAGCCAGACATCGAGCGCCATTGTGATAAGACGAATTGTTCATGCACATAATCGGACGTCGCGGGTATCCTGCTTTGTGTAACTTGAGAGCGACTCTCATTCTAGGTGTCTGTGTCTCAGTCGGTTCTAAGTGACTGTACTGCGACTCATTGATGTAATCATGTAGCAGAAGGATCTGGAGCTTTCTTGCCACATGCTTCTCCACCAGGATGTTGTTTTCCGGCGTATTCTCTAGCTGGAACTTCCGCGTGTCTCCCACAATGGACTCCATCTTCAAAATGTAGTCAAGCCTGTTCATTACTACAACGCTCGATATATATATATATATATATATATATATATATATATATATATATATATATATATATATAGGGAAGCGCGAAGCATACTGCAGACAGGCGATAATTGTGTTGCTGGACTTCAATAGGGCATTCAACTCAGTCGACCGATGCACTCTGTCTGAAATACTGGCGCTGAAAGGTGTTCCCATGAATTATGTGGACATCTTACGTGACCTGTACTCGAACACTACAGACCGTGTCAAGATCTACGGTGGTTTGTCAGGTATCCTTCCGACAACAAGTGGCGTTCGCCAGGATGGTCCAGTTTCCACATTTTTAAAATATCGCCATGAACTGCATCATGGAGTGTTCCTTTGCGGAGTCTCTCGATGCACGCGTTGAGGTGCTGCCTGGCGAAAAGCCAATTGATCTTGATAATGCAGACGATAGTTTTGCTATTTAACAATGTTGGGGTGGCCCAATCAATCCTGAATGACTCCTCTTGTGTGCCACTATCACTTGGCATGCGTCTCACACCTTAAAGTTGAAAGTTTTGTTATGGGATGATCAACGACTTCATGATCCCTTGACCCTTGATAGCAAGCAAAGCGAGACATTTGATCAATTCACATACCTTGACAATTGTACACGCAAGATGGTCGCATAGGCACTGAAGTCAGTTTATGTGTTGCAAAAGCTAGAACTGCCCTTTTGAATCTGCGATATCTGTAGCGTCCGCGAATGGTTTCCCTCTTTCGGAAAGGTAGTGTTTGCAAGGCCACAGTGTGGGCCGTCCTGTTTTATGGGAGTAAAACTTGGCCGTTCGATCAGAGGACCTGCGACATCTTCAACAGTTTGAGCATTTCTGTCTACGGAGCATTGCTGGTGTCGGGTGGCACCGTGTCCGCAACGATTATGTGTGTAAGTGAGCACTAGGCAGTGATAACTGAGTTCCTTAGAACAACATATGGCACTGAATAAGTTGCGTTGGCTACAGCACGTACTACCTATGCCCGGTCACCCGATTACCGAGTAAGACGTTGTTTCATTTATCGATTATAGGGTGGCACAAGGTTTAGAGTGGACCAGAATTGACTTGACAGAGGGAAATGAAGTCACTGACGATCAAACTCCATGTTGTTGACCCGTCTCGCCATCCAGACTGGAGTCCATGTGACCCCCTTTGTGCTTGGCACGAGACTAGAAAATATGCCTCGCAGTCGCCACTAGTGGCGTGTCTGATGTCGTCTCCTAGTCGGACTGCCTTTTTAGGATGTGTTTGGTGTTGTTATCTGCGGAGTAATGACTGATTAAGACGTGGGAAGTGATAGGCGCAAGGTAGCTGTCTGGCTAATGTCACCTTATCTTTGCACGGTAGCCAGCTGATTGTGATGGGATGTTATTGACATAAGGTGTAGACACCTTGGTTCTGTATGTTGGTTAAGGGTATTAATGTTTTCCGTAAAGTTTCCCATTCTTATCTCTTAGTGATCTTCGTTCCGTAAGTCATCATGACTGTGCAGCTGCAAAGCATCACTTCGAATTGATGATTTACTGCTGTTGATGAGGATGGTTATTCATCCAGTATCCACTCGGCCCCGGCCATTTTTCAGCGAAAGATACAGAACGCCATAACATTGTCTAAGGCTTTCGGGTACCTACATGGCATTTTGGTTACGGGAACAACTAACAAACCAGTCTTCTGTGCGTTATCGCGAAAGGATTTTCTTTCACATGGACTGTAGTTACGCTTTGTCTCTTCAGCGACACGAGAATACCTTGACGTACAATTTTTTATGTATACGAATAGTTGAAGTGGTTGTCTGACAAAAGAAACAATTAGATAATTATGCCTTTAGAGGATTAACTGTGAAATAGACTGTGCTTATGATCGTACGCAGTGGTTGACAGCATCGGATGTTGCTATTGCGTCGTGTTCTCTGTTGTATCTGTTACGCAAAATGTTTACTACCACTCCGGTGATAAGAAATTAAGGACAATCGGGAATAATTCAAAGCGCCGGAAAACTGTGTTGTTTACATCACATTAAGTCACTGAAATCAAATCGTTGTCTACGCCAACCAGATCGCTGGAAGCACTAACTAGTCTATGCAAGCCAATATGAAGACACCGAATTGAGCACCAATCATATGTATGCAATGAAGGAATAGAAATGGTGCTAAGCTTCGGGGCAAACTGTAACTCGCCTCTAATATAGATATCTCCCAGCTGCCAACCAGAATGTCATAGTAAACAGGAGTATCGTCTCAATGATCGATCGCATCTCTACGATGTGTTTTAAATCCACACTTATTCATGCTCAGCCTCCCAACGTTCACTTTTCTAGGCCAAAGATTGGAAATCCACCGTCAATATGTACCGGACACGTGATCAATGGGAGGAGGCGTATCGAGTAGCATCCAGTTGCTCGAGCCAGCCTGAGTTACGCAAACAGGTGGCATACCTTTGGGCCAGGCACTTGGGAGGTGAATCCGCCGCTCGACTTCTCACTCGCTTGGGCCTGTTGGACAGCGCAGTGGAATACGCCACGGAGCATTGCGCATTTGAGTTCGCCTTCAATCTGACTCGCTTGGCGTGCCCCGAGAAGATCAAGGAAGTGCACAACAAATTCGCTATGTTTCTCGAAGACGAAGGCAAGTTCGCAGACGCTGAGGTTGAGTTTGTCAAGGTGAGTCACTTAAGTGCAAGTAAGCAAGAGTAAACTTGTTTTCGGTGTTTGAAATGGATGCATAGTCAGCTGGTTCAAAACGTAAACTAGCGTAGAACTATGCTGCTGGGAATTTAAACTGTTGCGTCATGTAGGACTGAGTATCAGTAGGCCTGAACACTGCCAGCGGTTCCCTTCCTCATCGTCTAAAGTCGACCGGTGACGTGAAAATTTATCGGCCCGTTTGGAGCTCGCATCACTGGCGTGTATCGCTAGGCAGTTTAGCGATCGTACTATGTGATATGGTCTGCGTACAACTTACCACATATTGTGCTCAAGCACAACGATGTTCCAACATGCTGGAGTAGCTTGACAGCTAGAGTCGTGTTCCTGTGGACCAATCGCGAGTACATTTAACCCGCCGTGATGGGCTAGCTATACATAGTATTATGTAACCTGCCATAGTCAATGAACAATGAACAAGGATTTATAACGGGTAAAAAAGCAGGTGCTTGACATGTCCCGTAGGGTGTTTATCGTGACGAAAAAAGATAGCGAAGGGATAATGGAGTCGTCAGTTCGGGCGCTTACAGATGTAACTGCACTGTCGTATAAAGGGAGTTTGAAATGAGAATGTACGCACACAAAGCAATAAGGGGAGTGGTTATTGATCACATAATAGGTGAGAAAAAATTAAAAAAAGATAGCAAGGACAACGCTTACTCGTGTGCAACTAACTTGAGTCGACAGGATACAGAAATCCAGTTTCTATACTAGTAGCGTTTATCAAATTTCGTGCAAGCTAAAACAAACTCTGACCAGTGATCAAACTCCGTTATCCTTAAAACATAGCTTCAACTATACTGTACACATATAGCAGGCAATATTTATTTGCGTCGACCTCATGTTGGTCACTACTCATTTTCGCGCCTTCCACCGCCTGTCTACGATCATTGGTCCGTAAGTTTTACTCGTTTCAATCCTCTGCTGCTTTGTCCACCTTAAGTCATACTTAGACGCATCAGTTATGCTTGCTCAGTCTGGCCAGGACGATTACGGTAAACTGACGTGGGTGACATCTGATTCATCTGTCCTTCACTAGCTACCTGTCCCCATCGTCTGCTCGGTGTACCGATCGCCACCACATCATGTGCCGCTGGTGTTAGGCAGCTGATATTCACACATTGTCCGCTTGCGGCTCTTGCAGCCAATCCGCCTCGCCGTTGTTCGTGACAAACTTTACTTTCTTCCCTATAGGCTGAACCGATTCTGATTTCTCTCCCTGGCATATCCAACTGCGATCAGTTAGCGTCAGCAGCGAACAGTTGGCATCCTGTTTGTCTACACTGCGTTGGTCAACTTCGCCCAAGCGATCAGCCCTTATCACACATAGCATATTAAAAAGCCCCAATGCATTTCCTGTGTTGAATGGATTATTGGGGGCTATTTTATTGAAGAGTCTCTCTTTCGTTTTAATGCTGTTTCGATGTGTACTCAGTAGAATGCCATCGTTTTTTAGATGCACTTGACTCGAACTGATCTCGTAACGTGTGCAAACGTCTGACACACCATGTAGCCGGAACCAGACCGGATCACGCTGGGGTCTACGAGGATTTGTCGGAAGGCTTTCCGACAACCCTTAGTGATGACAGTAGTAACTCACTCCACACTGCGATTTAAAATGTTAGTAGACTTATGCATGGGGTCTTGCTACGCAGGTGATGATATCGTGCCGGGAGAGTCCGATAAGGCTTACATGAATCCGGTGGAAGGCACACTCTTGATGCCTGATTGCGAATTGACACAGTGAACCCACAACAAGCTCTACAGAGTAGTGCTCTCCTTCGTCTTGAGCTTTGAATAGTCAAAATGCAAGGTGCTTTTGCAAAACTGTCAGACATTCGGTAGCTGTTAAGGCAAGCATGGTGGAAAGTGGGGAGAGTGCACCAAGTTAAGCGTTTTGGTAGTTGCATTAGTAATGACGGGCTTGCAACTGTGGACAATCGTTCACATATATTAAGAACTTGGACCACCTTCATGAATCAACAGCAGAAGCATAGTTGGCTTATAATTGAAGGTCACGGTAACAAGAATGCAGTGACAGCCGTTTTACCCCACATCATGTAATTCTGGGCCGTTTAATCTGAGGACAGAATGTGTCTCCGGATGTTCCGCTATCGTTTCCCAATGAGTAGCAGACTTGTTGGCTCATACTAATGTGTCCTCTGTGATGTGGTCAACAGATTATTACTAGTTGACAATGATCACACTAGCTCGTCCGAGCAATGAATACTATGGGACGAATACTCATGAGCAGAAGGATTCGGCTAAATTTGTTTGGCTCCTCGCCAGCAGAGTAAGAGCCAGATAGGCCAAGTACCAATCCAGAAAAGTAGCATATAGTCGTTTCGGCTTCTTTGGACTCGCCGTTAGTGCGCGTTCCCTTGGTACACTTCAGGGAAGCGAAACTATGGCCGCTGGGGCATACACCACTGGCCAGCAGCCTACGCCACAGAGTCACGGGGGGCGTTAACTGAATATCATGGGTTTGAGCGTAACTTCGATATAGCCCGACTATTAGTGGAGCAATAAAGAGCAGGCATGCTTCCGTAACCATTCATAGCTGTAGACTTTCGTTTTACTCTGGTGGTTCATTGACCTTTGTTTTAACATATCATTCCGCAATCCTTATTGGCTGTTTAGAGTCGTTATTTTTGCCATCCGATTGCAGCCCTGCTCTGATCCCAACACACACCTTCTGTTTTTGTGTGCACCTGATTTATTTCTCATTTGTTCCGTTTTTATTGGCCTTACTTGTCCCCACGCTTTCCGTACTCGGATTGGCTTTCACGTCCTTGCGTCATGCCATACAAGGAGATGGTTTCCCTACATAAAAGAACCCTTGAATCCTTGTCCATGGTCGTTTGTGTTCTCACTACCTTTAGTGGGTGCAAGCAGTCGCCGGGATCCGACGCAACACCGACCTTTCCTCCACTGATATGCGGGTCATTACTCGTGTAGAGGACAGTGCTTGGACCTAAGGTGTCACGATTTCCCTACCAGAAGCCGTAGATGCACACATTAGTCTGCAAACTGTTAAGGCTGATGTTTAACCAATCATGTGTAGAGTGCTTTGGTGATATTTAGTTAGGTCATCGTAGTTTAATAAATGTAATCAACAGAGTTCCAGCTTCATGTGTTTTCCCGTCGATCGCCTAAAACAGCTTTGTTTTGTTTACACGCTACTGGATGGGACTAAGTCAAATTGGGGATAACCGTGGATTAAGCAACAAAAGCAATACCCAGCATAGCTCATTGGCTCCTTGAGGTACGCAAACCATCGCACAACGTTAAGGTCCCGTCTCGTCACCATAGATCCAATCTCCTTCTCATGCTCCACTTGTTTGACGCTGGCTACTCGCATAGTTGATTCAACGTCATTCAAGCCGAACGGATCACGAATTGTTTCTGCACAGATTTTGTGGGATTATAGCAGAACCGTTCGGTTGCTACAAACTCAGGTTCATCCCGCCTCAAGGAAAAAGTCGAAAAGTCAAAAAAGACGAAGATTTGGACGAGAAAGACGTTTATTGTTGCAACGTGCAATTCCGCTAGCTAAAATGGTTCTAACTAGGGGGAAGATATATTCTCCAGTCGAGACGCAGCGAACGCTCTTCGAAGCGGAAAACGGGAAACGCGGGAAATACGATTCGTCTGGTTGACCTAAACACACGTCGTCATCGTTCAAACACACAAACTTCCTAAATCGTCTAGGTACCAAATGATATTATATGTTAATATTTTTTACAGACAAAATGGGGAATCTCCAGGTCACCACACTGCCATCCTACTAGAAGGGGATCGTTTGTGACACTTCGATCTACGTGAGGACTGTCCGTCGCGGGCTAGCTTTCTGCGAGACTAGGACGTGAAACCTGGTGCAGCTGCTGTGAAAGAACCAGGCGATCGGACCCTAGCGGACTCACACCCGTATCTTCGCTTAAGGTCCCAATAAAAATGAAGTAAAGCGAACGTTCGTAGCGTACGAGCACTTTTGTTTGACCACGAGTGAGTGTTCTCCGGTTCGCAACCTGGAAAGAAAAGAAAGCAACGATGAGGTCAGTCATGCAGAAACGGCGACGGCAACGAACGGGAATGACACTTACCAAACAGGCAGCGAAAAGTCAAAAAGCAACCTTTTGATCGGTTTCCAAAAGGTTTTCTCCGTAATTTCTTCCAGTTTTCAAAATCTTTTGTAATTTGTTTTGGGTCTTCAAAACTTTTTGCGCTTTTTTAAGGTTTTCGGAGGGTATTGACGCGAATGAACACCTGAAAACGCGGTTAGTAGTGAAAATGCTAAGCTAACGTTCCAGGAAACGTGTCGGCCAGTGAGCTCGAAGGCCAGACCTAGTAACCATTTTAGGCTTTGTGGAGTCAAAAAGCGCTGGAAACAGGTTTCCGGTTGAGGTGTTACTGTCTGCAGGCGTTTCCTCCACCATTGGTTGGGTCGATTCGTCGACGGACAAAGGATTGGAGTCTTCTTTAAGCTCTGGTTCGACGTAAGCAACTTTGAGGCTGTCGATTGGGACAGCTTCGTGTTTGCCATTGCGTTCCATGACGAAGCAGCAATCCGTACTTTGTAGGACCTTGAATGGACCTTTGTAAGCTCGTTCGAGTGGTCGGCGTAGACCATCGATGCGAATGAACGGAAACAGGCAGTGATGATATCTTTGGGAACGAAAACTTGCGACGTTGTTCTCGTACTTCGGTCGTTTTATTACAGCGCATGTTCGTGGCCAGTTGCCGAGCGTATTGCGCGTCGTAGCGGTGAGTATTCTGGCTTTCAGGGAAGAAATCACCTAGTAATCGGAGCGATTGTCCATAAACCAATTCGTCGCTAGGCGTTTCGAGATCGGCTTTCAGTGCTGATCGAATTCCGAGTAGTACCATTGGCAAAACTTCTGTCCAACTAAGTGGATGGGTGGCATTCAGCGAGGCTTTAAACTGTCCGTGGAAAAGCT